TGATGTGTGAGTTAGACGTGCCCTGAAATAGATCAGCCAAGAGGTTGTTTAAGGGTTTGATGTGTGAGTTAGACGTGCCCTGAAATAGATCAGCCCAGAGGTTGTTTCAGTGTTCGATCTGTAAGTTAGCCGTGCCCTGACTTAGATTAGCCCAGAGGTTGTTTCAGGGTTCAATCTGTGAGTTAGCCGTGCCCTGACCTAGATCAGCCCAGAGGTTGTTTCAGGGTTCAATCTGTGAGTTAGCCGTGCCCTGACCTAGATCAGCCCAGAGGTTGTTTCAGGGTTCAATCTGTAAGTTAGCTGTACCCTGACTTAGATCAGCCCAGAGGTTGTTTCAGGGTATCGATTAGATTTGAACGTAGCCAAGGCAACTTACTAAGAACTGGTGAGATGCGAACATCTAATCTAAGTAATCTCGCTGCGCTATATATTATATACTGCACCATAATTCAACATGTATGTCTATATATATTTTTAAAAACGCATTAATAATTTATGAAGGAAACAATCATGACCATGAAGGAGGTTTTATATCTGATATAGATTCGACTTCATTTGCATAAACTTTAACTTGGATTTTCTCTATCAAGCTTGGTTCATTTCGTAAAGAATTCAGTACAATATGAGAACATACATCATCAGTTTTTGAAGCCGTTCAATAAACTCGCAGATCGTGTTTTATCGGGCCTAAAACCACTCGGCTACGCCTCGTGTTTTATACCCGATAAAACACTCCTGCTCGTTTATAAACATTACATATGAAACACTTAACGACCATGACGTAATATCAATTAACAAATTTATCTATGAATGCGAATCATTACGGATGATTTGTATTTGATCTTCTGTTTTGAATTTCTTTGTCATGTAATTAACGAGTTTCCTCTCACGCCGCTTAAACCACTCGATAACACTCTACATAAAACGTGGCCGAACGCACGCCTTGCTCGTGTAGGAGGAAAACTAAAGTTGCACACGACGATTCAAAAACAAATATGACCTTTACAACATTACAAATGGAAATTTCCTGTAGAAATCGCTGCATGTTTATGTTTGTCTGTCTGTCTGTCGGTCTGTTTTTTTATTTGTTGGTTTGTTTGTGTGTTTTTTTCAACAAGACACTGGACAATGTTTATTAGGATTTGATTTAAGTTCATTCGTATGAAAATTGCCTCGTGTAATATGCCCTAATCATACGCTTTTTCGAACATTTTTTTAGCTATGTTACTGTCTTACGTGCGTTGATGTGCGAGTAGATAAAGTTTTTCTTTACAAGGGATTACATCAATAGTCTAAGTAAAAAATCTAGAAAATGAGCTTTCATTACAAGTTGCATCGTGCTTTATCGCTGGCAGGTGATTTCAGAGAACATTTTGTTCTCAGCTCAATATTACCTAGTTACCAGATCAGTTCAGCTGGACAATTAACAGCTTTTACTCTAAAATAAAGAAAATCAAACTTATCCTCGAAAAGATTCACCAAATATTTTTTTAGAAATAGCATTTTTAGTTGTTTTCTTGGTTTAAAATATTTCGTTTTAATATTAGACAATACTTGGAAATGTTCTAGATCCCAAATCATCTGGTTAATGGGAGACATTCTTTTATCAGGATGCGGGGAAACGTTTAGGAATACGTGATGTTGACTAACATTTACTTAACGGAAATGACGTCATCGATGTCTTTAATTAAGGGATACATGACCCGGCATTAATATTGAGGATATGTGATATTAAAACCCATCTAATGGGGCGTTACCTACTACGAGATCGTATCTTATTCGACGTACGAGGGATCTCACATAATCTCCAGATTTTCCAGATAGCATGACAAATTGCACGAAGATATACGAGTGGTTTAGTTAGCTAATACGAGATGCCAGCTATCGAATATCAGACTTACGAAACAAGTCAACTAACAATGTCATGCAGGATCGTAGGCTGCACCTTTGATTTAAGGAATAAAGAAAGGACTCTTTATAATCATAAATAATAATGATCCACTAATCAGACTTTCGAGTAAACTCGTTTCGCTTAAAGTGCCTATGACCCCTAACTCAATGTTTTCAGCATTGATTCTACATGAAGTTAAAAGTTAAATAGTAAACTATTTCTGTATGATTTGAGTGATGCATCTTGGAGATATCAAGGTTTATGCTTCCAGTATGCTAATGAGTGTGATGTCATAGTAGGCATTTGGGTTTATTTGTCATCATTTTTAAATCAAAACACTGGTTACTATGAGGAAACAAATTTGCAATAACCTTTCTATAAACCCTGAGTAAGATAATTATGTTTTATACAGGATATTTTACTACCCCAGTAAATTTTCTTATATTTAATAATGCCTACTATGACATCACACTCATTTCCATACTGGAAGTATAAACCTTGATATCTCCAAGATGCATCACTCAAATCATATAAAAATATTTTACTATTTAACTTTTAACTTCATGTAGAATCAATGTTGAAAACATTGAGTTAGGGGTCATAAGCACTTTAACACGATTTCCACCCCACATTTCCTCCACTTTACCATCCACTTGGGTCAGGAAGGGACCTGATGCTAAAGATAACAATTCCATAAAAAGATTTCCAACTTTCGTAAAACAATATAAATGACACAAGTTTATCAATTAACAAATGTAGTTGTTTGTAGGGTTTGCTGTATTGCCTACGAGTTTACATCCCTTTCGGTTTAATAACCTTGAGTGACTCGCTTAAGATAATGAGAAAACACTTCAATTGTTTAAACTTTGCTGCGATGTCAGAATCAATAGGATGCTTTTCAAATGACTTGGGCGTGCATATTAGTAACTTTTTTTTTTAGAGATTTTCATTAATTCCTTCTCGTTAGCAAGCTTTAAAACCAACCGCACCCTCTTACTATTGTTTGATGTCGGGTTTGAATTTTCGATGGAAAACCTGTACCGGGTTTGGAATTCAGCATTGATACTAACAGGGGAGAGCGGGGCTCTCTAAGTGAGTTGAATGAATGAAATGAATGAAATGAATGAAATGAATGAAATGAGTGAAATGAGTGAAATGAGTGAAATGAGTGAAATGGATGAAATGAAGGAAATGAATGAAATGGATGAAATGAATGAAGTGAATGAAATGAATGAAATG